TCTATCTCCATCTCCATCTCCACATCTCTAATCTTTATCTCTATCTCCATCTCCAAATCTCCATCTCCACATCTCCATCTCCACATCTCTATCTCCATCTCCATCTCCAAATCTCCATCTCCACATCTCCATCTCCACATCTCCATCTCCACATCTCCATCTCCACTTCTCTCTCCTTACCGTACCAATTCACGTTTCGGTACACATTCGGCTACCTGATTCGGCTATCTATTAAACGATCCGCTATACGTTTGGTAACGAACGACCAATTCCACTGGTCGGCTTTACGGGTCCGCACCTCCTTCCCATCTCCGCCGGGCGTGCCACCGTAGCACCGCCTTCCTCACAGCGGAACCGTCGAGGTCCAGCCGGTGCCCGAGAACCGCCAGCGGGCCTCCTTCATGGCGGTCGGAGGTGCGGTCAAAGGTTGGTAGAGGTCGGTACTGGGTGGTGGGTCGGTACTGAGGTCCTAACCTCAGGATGGATGGACTAGATTCTTTTAAAGAACAAGTGGTTCAAGTCCAGTCTTCCGGAAGTTCTGGGTGGGTTTCTACACCATTTCTACACCAACAACAGGTCTGCAAGATCTTCTGTTTCCGCAGATGGTAGGATGAAAGTCCACAATGCAGGGTTATGTGCAAAAAAGGTGACCCATGGCTGCCCATGGCCGATGAAAGCCGATGGCCTCAGATGGCAGCCCCGGGCTACCAGGGCCGAGTGGAGTACGGACTTGAACTCCTCACCGCGGCATTGAAAAGGGACCACTTGAGGATGTGAACGGACTCTCCAGTGGAAAGTGAAGGTACCCAAATGGGAGAGTTTTACACGTTTTCACGATGAAAGAGGAACCGGATCCTGTCTGAGAGTTATGGGGCTGTTGCTGAAGCCAGCGAAGGACTTGCCAAAGTACTGAACCGGCAACTTGAACACGCTGTGCACAGCTTGGCTTGGCTCAGCCATGGACTGGAGATGAAGCAACCCCCCTCCAGAGCAGCAGGGCCCCAGGGTTCTCCGTGGTTGGGGAGTTGGGTGACAGAAACACCTTGCATGCCACGTGGCCTGATGGGGTCATGGCACCAGGATACCGTTTAAGCTCAATTAGACTTTAAGGAGCTTGACCTTTGAGAGTTGAGCGGATGTGGGACCCTGCAGCATCCTAAATCCCTTGGAACAATTCAACACCATCAGGCCCAAGTAATATACTTATACTGACTCATCACTACTTCCGAACTTCCACCAAAGCCAGATCTCACCCAACTCACCCACCAACCAAAAAGACAATTTTTCAGACAGACTTGTCCCTCCCCTCCACGCAAAACAGAGGAGGAACGGAAGAAGAAACCGAGACAGATCGCCCAGATCCACCGCGAACCCCTTCGATCTCAGTGCGTCCCGCGCTCCACCGCGCGCGCGACTCGCGCCACTCGCGCCAAACCCCCCATGCGCCCCGTGCTGCCGCATGGGCGGCCCTTCGTGCGCCGCGGCCCGGCACGGCTGAAGAAGGAGACGAAGGTCCGGGGACCGGTCCCGGGTGAAGATCGATTGAGGAAGCTCCTTTGGCGACGAGAGGCAGGATAGGTCGGACCCGGACGACCGGACCCGGACGAGCAACACCTCGAAACGGTGAATGAGGTCTGGTCCGGACGACCCCCCAACAGGTCCAGAACTGGCCTAAAATCCACTTCGATTCTGTCCCCGTCCGCTCCTGCTCTCTCGTGCGAGGTCGGCGCGGACCCGCGGCGCCGTCACATCGAGTCACGTGTGATGGCACGAAGGACGAAGGACGCACGAGTTCACCGGAGTCATACTCCGCCACTGAAGGTCCAGATGCAGCCCAAATGCACGAGTTCACCTCCTGAGAACTCCTTCCTCCTTCCTACCGTGAAAAGTTCTTTCTCCTTGCTTCTGGCTTGAGTACCGTTTGCTTGCTTCCTTCCTTGCTTCCTTGCTTCGTTGTTTGTTTGCTTGTTTGCTTGTTTTTGTGTTATTCTTGTCTCTTGGGTTTTTGGAACAGCTTCTGCCTCATCAGCAGGTCAACAGAATGCCCACCTCCACCACCTCCGCTCGCCATACAGACCCGCGCGGTCCGCGCGCGCGTCGCTCCAGAGGCGGTGGCGGTGGCGCGTGGAGTGACCTGGAAGGGCGTGGTGCCCGGTCACTCGGACTGGGAGCCGCACTTCTTGGAGACCGACGGTTGGCAGGCCCATCCGAGCGGGCGGGAACAGGTTGGTTGGAGGAGGGGCGTGAGTTGGGCCAACGATGGCCAGAACACCCTGGAGCTGGGGTTGCTATTGATAGCTCCGAAAAGAGGTTACGGCTTAAGGGGTGTCCATGAACCACCCCGGCAGTGGGTCCTGGTACGGGGTTGGCTCATGTTGGCTCTGGTTTTCTCAACATGATTGGGCGTCCACTCCGTGTGGGCTGGCACCCCTAGCGCCAGTATAGAGTGGGTCAACAGGCCAGAACTTCCTACTGCGCACTCCACAGTTTCTTTCTAAGGCGTCTCTATCTACCTTCAATCCTACCCAACGCGCGCCAGGGCTACGAAGAAAAACCTGCTGGCAGCGGCGGCCAAGCCGCTGGAAACACCAAGTGGTGGCACGTGCCGGACGCGCGCATCCGTGAGCTGCTGGGTCTCCCCACGACTGAGCTGCGCACGGAGCCGGAGAAGGCGGGGGTGTCCGCACTGTCGTAGGTCCAAACTTTCAACCACCAGGGAGCTTCCTTCACCCTAGGCTTCCTGGCCCACCATTAATTTAATAGGCTTTGCTGAATCAACTAAAGGGTTTTACACTACACACACCAGGTCAACCTTTTTTAAAATGGTCTTGGAAGTCTAGGGGCTTCCAATTTCGAGAATTCGTTCAAGGCTTCAACCTCAGCGTTCAAGTTTTTGTTGCACATCTCTAAGCTTCAAACGGAACAACCTCATGTGAGCCGACCTCTCAAAGCGAAACAATGTCGATTACATCAAAGACGACGTCCTCATGCGACGACGTCCTCATCTGCTGTTGCACAGCACTGCTCTGACGCCTCCCCGACGTGTGACGGCAAGGCGGTTTCGTTATCCTGTGGAACGGTGAGGGGACCGCCAGCTGTGACTGATGCTGATGCTGCGCAGTAGGTGTGACTTGTACTGTGCACCCAACTGTTTCTGTGCAACTTTGACTTACGACACTGTTGATTTATGTTAATTCATATACTGATGTTACTGTGCAACTGTATAGCTAGCACACTACTGTTATTGTGCAACTGCAACTGTGACTTACGCTTACTGTGCAAGTGTTAAACGTTACTATGCTGCACAGATGCAGTTCATGCCCAGCTGTGTGGGATTTTTCTTGGATGGTGGCTATGTCATCCTCCACCTGATCTGTAGGAGTTAGCCAGCAAGGGTGCTGTTTGTTTATTCACAGCGCTTCGCACGAAGCCGCCCGCACGGAATGTGTGCGTCTGTTTGTCTCGGTCTGTCTGCCTGTCTTGTTCGGGCAGGACACACGGAAGAACACACGCACGATGTCAATAGTCTGTCTCGGTCGGTCTGTCTGTCTGTCTGTCTGCCTGCCTGCCTGCCTGCCTGCCTGGCTGGCTGGCTGGGTGGCTGGCTGGTCTGTCTCTCTGTGTCTGTCGGTCTCTCTGTGTCTGTCTGTCTCTCTGTTGTCTCTCTGTGTCTGTCTGGGTCTGTCTGGGTCTAGATCTGTCTGGGTCTGGTCTGTCTCTGTCTGTCTCTGTCTCTGTCTTTGTCTCTGTGTCAAAGATTGTTCCCCCAAAAAACATCAAAAACCACATGCTCAATACCATTCACCTCATCCAGTCGGACTGGGCACGCGACCGAACACATCCGCGATATCAATCGTACAGTGTCCCGCGGTTTGCCTAGACGTTTGCGATTTGTGCGATGTCCATAATGCAGTCTCCCCCGGCCGGCATAACCGGCATTGCATATCCATAGTGCAGTGCCCCTTGGCTTGCCGAGACATCTGCTATGTCAATAATGCGACTTGCCCCGACCGGCATAACCGGCATCGCCAACATTTGGTCCAATTTTAACCACTTCTTAAAAAAATTGAAAAGCACAGCACTTCTGGGAGAAAAATCCCCCCAAGCTAAAGCTTAGGATTTATTTAGCCGGATTCCTTGCGAATTTACACGAGCCTACATGACGCCCTCGGCACCTCCGGTGCGGGCGGATTTCATGCTTTTGATTTCTGGGAGACCTGTGTGTTGTGTTCAATGTTTGATTGTGAGAACGTGACTTGCAAAGAGGCAACACCGACGCCGGTCCAATCTGTCCAATCCACAAGGGGTTCCCCTGTGTTTTCACACAGGGAACCTTTTTTTCACGCCAAGCATGTCTTCCCCAAGCATGTCTGTACTTCATGGCACCAGCAGGTGGACCAAAACGGACGGACGTTTACACTTCAACCCTTCAGAGTGGACTCATGTATTTCCGACGTGAATGGAGAAGGGCCAGGGTTTTTGGGAGATGATCCTGGTCGCATGAAGAAAGAACCATTCCGAAGCATTCTGAAGCATTTGAACCTTCTGTGCTGGGCAGCTGGTCGTGGGGCAGGTGGTCGAGACCACGTTGTCTCCGGAGCCAGCTGCGGAACCGGCGATGGTGCAGGCGCGCGGGCGAGGTGGATGGCGGGTTGGCGAGCTCGACACGCCCAATGTAGCATCTTGAGCTGCCACTTGGGTGGTGCCAAAGGATCTAATCACATCTGAGTGTGCCGCACTGCACCCGGCCGCACGTACTTATCTCCCAAATCTAGCCCTAAGTTCGTTGGGCGTCGGCACGTTTGGTGGCATTTCGTTGGAAGATCCACCAGGGAGCATCCGAGCAGCTCGACTCCCGGGGTGTCCAAAGGCTTAGACGGACACCTGATCTCCGAAATCGGATGGTGACAGGCGAGTCACCGGACTTCGATGGTCGAAAACTGTTGGGACTTTGCGACCTAACCATTGTCACCATGGGTCTTAAAGTAGTGGTCTTGTGGCTCCCAAAGAGCTGAGTTTTCCGGACGTTGTTCCACTCCACTAGGGAAGAAGAACAAGTTCTTTTGAACGGTCGAACTGAAGGCGAACGGGGCATGTCAGCTCTTGCACTTGACCTTCCTCCGATCCCCTCCGACCCTCTCCAAGCCCCGTCACCCGCACGCGGTGGAGGGGGGAAGAGGAGCGGAGCCCCGTCGAACTGCGGAGTGGTGGTGGGGCCCGGTCGCAGGAAGATCCGGAGCCAGAGAAGAAGGAGAAGGCCATGATTTTGGGGCAGCTTGGGATCGCTTGGGTGGTTGGTTTGAGTGAGGGAAGTCACTTTTGAGCCTGGTGCAGCTGAATTGTAGTAGTAGTAGTAGTAGTAGTAGTAGTAGTAGTCGTAGAGGTAGTGGTAGTGGTAGTGGTAGTGGTAGTGGTAGTGGTAGTCGTAGTAGTAGTAGTAGTAGTAGTAGTAGTAGTAGTAGTAGTAGTAGT